AAACACCACAAAATGCTGTTTGAAAGATTATCTTTTGACTTATTAAAAGATGTAAAATTTCAGATATTTTGATCACAAAACAGGAAAATGTGAGAAACTTTTTTTTTTAAATCTGCACCTAATAAAAAGAGTGCTATAAAATATTGCTTTGTTATTACAAACAAGTGCATGTGAAAAATTTTAAGAAAATCCACTCGGTGGAAAAAAAAGACTAAAATTTAATTTGAAAACTTGACATAAACGAACAAATAGGCAAACCAAAAACAAAGATCAATAAAAAAACGTGTGAAATTGTTTAACTGAATATGGTAAAAAGCAGAAAGACGACCTGCTTAAGGGAAAAGGATGTCTTCACGGAAGGCTTTTTAAGAGAACTGCCGAATATTTATTCTATACGTGGAAAAAACCACGAAAACACCCATGCAACTAATACGTTCGCTGAGGTACGAACTTATGTTGAAGTGTCAATGTTATAGCAGTTTTATCCATTCGAATACTTGCCGCGGCCGAGCAGTAAAACCGCTGAAGACTGGTAATTCTTACCTAGTTCGATTCCTGGCGAAACGGGCTGCCATATTAACCGAAGTGATCTGGACCGAACTGTTGATCACAATAAGCGATATATTTTCTATGCTATATGGGCGTGACTTCGGCAGTTTAATAACAATATACGAATTATAACGTTTACCGTTGCCGTCCAGACGGTATAATGGTTAGGGTAGCTTACTACGGTACGGAAGGGCTCGATTCCCGGAGAAGATACGGTCGTCCCTTCATAGGAGACAAAAGTGGCCACCTATTCAGTGTCTCCACAATAAAATGGCCAACACTTCTGACATCTGAAAATTTGAGAGGCCAGTGCTGAATAGGCAAGTGCCCGCCACTGGATTTAAAAGGTTTGGTTTTATTAGATTACGGCAAAGCGCTCGAGGGCTATTTTAAGGGAGGGATGCCTTCGTGGAGGACATTCTAAGTGAAACTGGCTTGTATACACGTTACACATGGGGAAACCCACGTAAACGCCTATGTAGCCAGCCCGTTCGCGGGATTCGAACCTCGGACCGAACTACCAGTGTTCAGCGATGTTACCGCTCGGCCGCTGGTGGGCACTGGATTTAAAAGAAAGAGAAAAAAAATTAATCGTGATCACATTAAGCGTAGTCTACTGAAATTCAGCAAGGCAAAGCATACAATGGCTGTTTGTATAGGACCACGCAGTCCTCCATTGAGGCTTTTCTTATGGAAATAAGTTTGTATTTGTATTTTATACAGGAGTAAACCACACATACTCGTTATCCATGTACACATCGACCTATTTTCACTTAAAACGAATCCCAGAATTGCACAAAAATGGCATTGCGCATTCCCTTAACTTCATCCATGTACACATTGACCTAATTACACTTAAAAAGTCAAAGAAAATTGACAAAAATCCAATTCTTCTTACTCTTGTAAAAAGCGCCAAACAAATAAGTGGGCGATTCTGCCCTTTACCCAAACTTCTACAAGTTAGCAGGATTTAAGTGGGTGGAACTATTGGTATTTAGTGGTATTTTACGTTCAATCACTATTGCACGTAACTTAAAGGGTTCAAAAATACGTTGGTTAACACTTCGTTAGTATTTAGAGTAATTGAATTATAATGAATTACTTGATTACGAACCGCTGTTTGTTTCTAATTTTTTTTCTTGAGGGAAGGGGCTGTTCAGAATTTAAAATATGAAGCAGAATGAACATCTCAAAGAATTTATAATGGATTTATTGTATTAAATAAAGCAATTTTTAATCGAAAACTAATAGTTTCCTTCTCATAAAAATGCTATTTTAATGCGCTGATTAAAGACGGTTTCTGTTATAGGATAATATGCGCCAAATACTCTTCTACAGAAATATTACATGCGCCAACATTGCCTATTAACTAGCGTTAAATTTAATGTGTTGTTCTTAACTTTTTCAAAAAGTTCTTATTTTCAAAACAAATATTGCATAATAAAATAATTTTAAAGCTGTCATTCTATTTCTTTGTTTACTGAAATAACTAGCCTAAGAGAAGCTTTTGTTTAAGAAAGTTTTACCAGAGCTGAACTAAGCTAATGGCGAGATTGTGTTTTCTAGTTCGAAATATCAAGTTGGCAATGTGTGCTGTTGTGAAACGGTAAAGATCTGTCAAATTTAATGATACTTTTTCATTATTTTGACATAGAAAAATATATTTATTCCTATACTTCCTAAATAAACATTAAATAATAAAATACTTAATGAAATTTTTCATTTCTAAAAAGAAATACGCAAATTAACTTCATTCATCTGTTTAACGATCGTCCTACTTATTTGTTCTTAGTTTTAAAAATCCTATAATGGCCTAACATAGCAAAAATAAAAATTTCAGTTTCATCGTTATTATCTTAAAAATAACACTTGCAGATATACAAAGATTAATTATCTGAAAACATTCTGCTACAATATAAATATGAAAGTTGAAAGGCATCACTGCATATAAACATCTGCAAAATTTTGGATACTTTCTTCTGAAAAAATACAGTTAGTTATGCTATCTCATTTCTTTAAACCATCGCATTGAAAATTATAACTTCATTTCTGAAAGCTGTCGAATTCCTGTCGCAAACCCAGATTATGTTTTGTTGATTAATTTTCAGTTAAAAAAACATGGATGGATTTGGCGACATCTGAATATAATTGAAGACAAGCTTTCTCAATCAATACTGATGCTCTGTTTCCTTCCCATAAAAGAGGAGCATTTTCACTCATGACAATATAAATACAGGCCGGTTTTTCTTAGAACGTTCTCCACGAAAGCATTCCTCTCTTTAGCAAATAGCTCTAATTATTTTGCTTGCCTCTAGAGTAGAATTGGGTGCTCTTTCCCATTGGCGACAAATTTTATTCAATTTTGGTGATGAAACCCCCTTTCTGGTTACCATGATAGTTTTAACTTGATTTTTAACTTCCTGATTTTTTTTAAGTGAAAATATAAAGGCAATGCGCAATGCAGAGTTTATACAATTCTCCGATTTTTTTTTTTTTTTTTTTTTTTCCTTTTTTTCCTTCTTAAGTGAAAAGAGATCAACGTATGCATGGACAACGATTTGTGAAATTCTTCCTTTCTGGTGCCAATCTTGGCGTCAAAAAAGAATCGCCAAAAAACCAATTGTAAACGTTTACGCTTTGCGCTATTGAATGAAACAATACTAGAGCAAGCTACCATATTCCTTTATCACTTTCATATATATTATTGCAAGTATTTTGTTGTAAGCCGCCAGCCCAGTACTGTGCACTTCGAAATGAATGATAATGCATAGTTCAATGGCGAGTTAAAAATATTTATTAAAATCATATTAACTGCCATGATAAAACCGACTATTTTCAGTAAACTAAGTATCTGTTGAAATGCATGGTGATTATAATGTAAGAGAAGAAATTTGGATCCTGTTCTGTTATCGGGGCCAGATTCAGAAATGTATGCATGCATGCATATATGTGTTTACACATGCATACGTACGTCATATATAAATGAACCCATACATACTTGCATATATACACACATTTCTGAATCCGGTCCCGATAACAAAACAATACCGAAATTTGATTCTTTACTTAGAGTACTTTATTTAAATGAGATTTAAGCCTTTAATTATATTTCCTCATAACGAAACCCAAAAACACTTTTTAGAGAAAATTAAATTTTGAAATTCATTTACACTTGTTTAAACGTAGTATCTATTCAAACCGAAATAAAGCTACAGCTTAATTTTTATTTTCATTTTTTTAAAATAAGCAAAAACATATTTATTAACATAAAACAAAATACCTAAATATTTTTATTATATTGATTTTTTTAAAAAAATAAATTAGATGGTAACAGGCCTGCAATGAATGCTCAATTGTTTTATTGCTCAATTGTTAATGTTTATAATCTACATATTTAGTGAACTAGAATGTTAAACTAAGTGTTGTACACATTCGGCAGAATTAACTTCTTAAAAATATGAAATACACCGGATGGTATTTTTCGTTATTTAAACCGCTCAAAGAAATTAAAACATACTAATGCATTAACAGTAAACAATTTTTCCTTTCCTAGAAAGAACAAGCGAGACGGATAATCGGAAATTCAAGAGTTTTGAGTTGAGAAAATTGAAATTTTCCAACATCACGCAACGGAAAATAAATGAATGCATTTCTTGAACACATATTATCAATAAAATACCTAGTTATTACTTTCATGAGCATTAAACTACTGTTTCTCCACCTTATGATTTGCAGAATTTATCGGAGGATTTGTGCATAAGAAAATATGAAGACTTATTTAGCGATTTTTAAGCATCAGTAACTTTTTTTAAAGCAATTAAATATAGAGACAAACTGATAAGCGTGAAATTGTATAGAATTGAGTACAAGCGATATAAATTTTAAAATAAATGTTCAGCATATTTTAATTTATATTACTCTCAGTAGAAGGTTATTGTGCTCGAATTTTAAGAAAAAATTGCTTTAAGCTATTTAAAAAATTTTCAATAAACGTATAAATAATAATGTAAATAATTAGTACTACCGATAAATAATGAACAAATACAACAATAAACTTTCAGCTATGTATGGCAAAGATCCCAAGAACCAGAGTTTTAAGGTTCAGCTACCTTTCTTTTTAACATATTCTATATACATATGCAAGCATTCACACAATTTACCTAGGAAATATCACTGACATCTCTAATTTCATCATTACCACTGATATTGAAATTATTTCATCTTAAAGTTTTTAATAGTAACTGCGAATAATTATGCATTTCAAAATTTTTGTAAAAAGTGAAAATTTTATTTCACCATAAATTTCGTGTAAAGGAAAGCAATAAAACTTCGAAAAATTACTGCATAGTTCAATGACGTGTTAAATTTTTACTGAAACCATCACACTTAAATTTACTTGGCAATAACTGCCAAGCAGCAATGAAGTAATTTAAAAACAGGATTCCTCCTACCTGTTCGGAAACAGCTCTGAAAAGGCAAGATCCATCCTTAGCTACATCGTTTCTATAAAGCCCCAAGAAATCTAAAACGGAATCCATTTTAGCCAATTTTACCAATGAACTCTTAAATTGGAGAAGAGTTTTCATAGAATTCTTTTTTCGTGTATCTTTTCGTGAACTCATAGCTAATTTGCATTTTCTTTGATAAAACGCGCCTCGGCTGCTCTCTTCGTTCTCATTGGCCGGGTCGCTGGATGCTCAACTTCCAGAAGTGTGTGACGTCACAACTTACTGGCATTAATCCAAATGCAGCAGGTGTTTTAACTAAATGAAACTGAATGAAAATGTGGAAATAGTGGTCGACGGAGTGTAAAACTAAAAAAGAACGGAAACCTAAACTAAAAAAGAACGGATACAATTAAAGTTGTATTCGAAATGAATATAACAAAAGCAAATGTTACGAAAAATTTAAACATAACTATTTTTAATTTAAAAAATCAAATTATTCTGTAGCAAGTGCGCAAAATATGCCCCTAACCCTCGTTTGTAAATAAAATAATATTACAAATGTTTAAAATTAACAGGGCTTAAATTCAGCCGGAGTCCAATATTTCTCAGCTTCGGAGCAAAGTGTAATTTTGGCCGAATATCCAAATGAGACGAGCTGCGGTACTTTCAATACCTGAATCGCAATATTAACAGGAAATTCTATTAACAAAGCGGCTTTTACTTAAGCAGTTAGTAAATTTAGCATCATTATCTACTGAATATTTGCTTCACTTTTCTCGAGAGAGCAAAATAGGCGAGGAAACTTGAGACCGGGAGTTAGAATGTTGAGTCTCTAGAAAAAGTAGTGTTGCCACATTTTCAAAATTGCTCACCTGGACATTTTGAAATAAGGATGCTTAGAAAAATAAAAAGTATAGGATTTTCCTTATTTATTTATTTATAGTGAGAAGGAAATAAATTTTTTTATTATTATACTTATTATTTTATAATTATTATGATTTATTATATTTGTCTTATTATAATTTTTATTGCGTTTATTTTTATGTTATACATGTATTTATTTATTATTAAAATAGTATATTAATTAATTAATTTTAAAATTAGAAAAATGCTTTGTGTGCTTTTGTTTCATAAAAAAAATTCTGAAAAGTATAATTATCTCAGTTAAACAAAAGGTATTAACAACAGTAAGACAAAAACTATAAATTTTATTTTTTTATTAGTGCAAAGAAGCTTTGTCCTTGAAGGACTATTGTTTTCGTTTTGTGATTTTGCGTTGAATCACTATAAATGTCCATTTCACTTTTCAAACTATTGCGATCAGATGTTAGAGTCTTGCATTATATTTGAAGAAATTAAATAATGAAAAAACTTCGTAAATGTATGTCTACTTCTCGCATTGTGATAAAACAACGGTACATAGAGCCATCGAATTTTGAATGACATAATACTCCTACGAATATGGGCATGTGGAAAACCAAATTTGAAATTTGGAATTTGTTTTTGAATTTGAATCGGTTTCATATTTTGTAAAACTTTAACGAATTTTTGATTAACAAACTCAAGGATTTCAAAGCGAGCAATGTCAAAACTCTACGGCGGGGGGGGGGGGGGGACCTTTTTATCTTCAGCGGGCGCGGAGCTGTGTATCGGAAATTTTAAAGCTATGCTGATTTTAAAATTATTTTGCGACATTGCTACTGAACTGAATTTTATGGTTTAAGTGGAAAGAACATGATATTTAATAAATAAAGATAACACACAAAACGTTAAAAAAAGCCCCTTTGGACGTAATTTAAAATCTCAAACCTTTCAGATTTTTTTTGTTTATGTTTAAAAAAAAAAAAAAAAAAAAAAAAAACTTATAAACTGAAACCGTCACATTCAATTTACAATAAATATTTGAAAGTTACAAATTAAAAATTCCATTTTTTTGTCACTTCTGTTTTTGAGATAAGTTTGGGTGAAGTTATGTTCAATATCAGTTAAAATAAAATACTGGCGATTTCTTTTACAAATTTATTCTATTTCATCACAATTTGAGAGTTTCTCCAAAAACCGAACTAATAAATTTTAAATCCCGACCATGAACTTAAAAACTGGATTTTCCGGTAAAAACCGACTTGGCAACGATAAGGAAAAGAAATATTTTCTCACTTTACCACGACTCTGAATTACCCTTCCCGGGTGTTTAAAAAGGTAAAAAAGTACACTAATGGAACCGAAACCAACTATGATCTTCCTGTTTGGTACCGGAATCAGTCAAACGCATGGATGAATGGAGCAATATTTAATGATTGATTTCATCAGTAGTTTGTTCCATCTGTGGAAAAGTTTTTAAAAGAAAAAAAACTACCAAGGAAGGCAATTCTCATTCTAGACAATGCCTCATCCCATCCTGATGCAGAACAGTTACGAGTATGTCTGCCGATGAACCAGGACGTTTTTGAGGCATTGGTGAAAAAATACAGTCGTAAGCATCTTTCATCTCTTGTCCTAGCCATGAGGAAGGGTATGATATGATCGAGAAACAGAAGAAAATATATATGTTGGATGTTGTTGGATGGATAGCTCATTCTTGGATTGAAAACGAGCAAATAATCATTCTTTCCTGGAGAAAGTTGCAGGACCATTCAAGAAACGATTTTCACGAAAGCAAAGAAGAGACAGAAAATTGTGAAACAGTTGACGTACTTCAGAAAATTCCAGGCTGCGAAGAAGTTACTGATGATGATGAAGAATGAATGGGACAAGATGGAATTTGTGAAATTTTAGGACATGCGGAAATAGTTGCACTGGTAAAAAACAATGTGCATAAAAATGAAGAGAACTCTGAAAACGAAGAGATTGAAGACAACGAAAAACTGAAATGATGACCCATAATGAAGGACTGAAGGCCGCCGAAGGAATGCTCCGTTACATGGAGGAGCAAGTTGCATCTGGTATAGAAATTTTGTTCCTCAGTCGCCTACTGGATGAAGCTGCACGAAGACGGAATGAGTGTGAGAGATAATCTACCATCATTCAATATTTTTCTACCGAGAACTACTAATAATTTTTCATATCAGGTACTATATCGCTTGTAATCTTTGTAACGCATATAATGCTTATAATTTATCCTCATTTTTACAGTGTATAACTTATTTTTATAATACTTACTTTTATAACGTTTAGAATTAACATGCTGTAAAATGTTTGCTTTTAAGACGGTAATGTACACCGCTTATAACTCTAAAAATATCGGGTTGTCGAATGTTTAATTTCAGGGATACCGTTGTATCGTTTTACTTTACCTTTCTAATAGTATTTTTATTTTGGAACAAGCCTTTCCTATACATTCTAACTTCACACCTACGTTTCCCTGCCAGAATGAGTTTTCAGGATACGATTTGTGCAAATGAGGTAGAAACAGTACTTACGCTGAAGTCTGGGTTACTTCAGTAGAAGAGCGTGTTCTGCCTTTCGGCCCTTACAAATTCTTTGGTACTTCTACGTGCTTGCAAGTATACGTCGGTGGTGGATGAATTTCTGTAGTTGATTCTGTGCAGCTTCGGTGATTAAATTTATGTAGCGGTAGTTTAGTTTTACATTTCTTATTTTGAGTTAAAACCCAAGTGGAGGCTTATTATATGTCCGAGAGGGGTCATTTGTTAGTTACTTTTGAGTTGGAATAAGAGGTAATTGAACCCTTCTCCGGAGTTGTTACTTTCAGCATAAGAGCTCAGCAAATAGTCGCTATGTAGTTCTTCAGCATTCTAGCTTTCAAGGAACTCTAGTTTAGCTGAAATATTGCAATATATATCATTTGTAACTTTTATGTCGAATAACTTTTGCGGTGTACCTCTCTTCAAATCATGTATGAAGATTTGTAAAGCTAAAAAATATCATTTTTGCTTTCCGAACGATAACCTACATATATAATGATAAATACAAATCAGTCCAATTCACGCTAAAAGCAGCAACAAAGGACGGCAATAATGCAAAATAAATTAATACATTCAAAATCCATCCCATATTCATTGGAATAAAGCATCCTCAAATCCTTAAAACCAGAAGCAGCACAGTGGCAAACTACATGAAACGGGCAAAATATGCCGAAACCGAAAATGAACAAGAAAAATTTACCTCTTTCGCCGCATTGTCATCACGCTGATTTATTTACTTCTTTTGTTGGGGCAAACCCCTGACATTGCTTGGTTATGAATTGAACCTCTTCTTACTTCTAATTACACAAATTTTGTCTTTCAGAAAAACGGAATCAGTCAAATTCTACCTTTTCAGAAAGTCCTTAATAGTTGACAAAAACTCTTAAAAATATTTCAATGATATGTTGGGGCTTCTTTCTCCCCCCCCTTTTTTTTTTCTCCGAACGAATTTTGTAGCCATTGGTTTCATAAAATTTTGGTAGAGAAATTGCCTTTATTTTTCCCATTCTCAGGCGAGTTTTTCCTAGAGTTCATTTCTATCGAAAATTTTTAATTTATCAATTTTATCTGCAAATGATTCCAAATGTACTCAATATGATTGGCTCAATAAGATTGCTCAATGGGAAGGAGCTTGGACTCCGCTATGGCATTACATTTAAGCAGTTACATGATATATGAGCATAATGCTTAGAAGCATTGTTTCTGATAAAGTTCATAATGCGACAATATGCTCATTTTTTTTAACTGGTTTGTTTCAAGTTTTGTTATAAAATATTTAAATATATATAAATTCGTTTATTTTGCTATAAATAATGTTATGAATTCTGTACATTGATAGTTGATTTTAGTGTTGTATGTGAAATTGTTGTATGTTTCCGTATAATGTAGCATGAAAAAGTAAGAAAAAAAAAGTAAGAATGCAGGGACAAGTCTATTTAACATTGAGTAAATGGCTCTCTCGATAATTTGAAGAGATATCGCCAAGCTAACAACGATTTTGGCGAATAATTTAGTCGCCAAACTTGACAGGAAATCTCCAAAAGTCGCCAAACTTGGAGACCATTTGGCAACATTTTCGTCCGGCCTCTGTATAACTGTAATGGATATTATAAATGAAAACTATACTGATTCTCTGTAAAGTATTCGGCCCTCGAATGCCTGACAATAATTTTGAGAAGCAGAAACTACTAGAAATATCTCGGCGGCTGGGTGAAACTATATGAGATCGGAGAGAGCATCTGCTGTCAGTTGTTATTGTGATTTGTTAGTTTAGAGCAACACCGGAGTATTAAGATACCATGAAAGCTCCGTCATTTGGATGTGCTTTGTATTGTTTTATGTTTAACGTTCTTAATAGTTTAAAGCGTAACTACTGATTGTAGTCTGTGGTACTACAAGTACGAACACCTGTACGAATACTTCTGTAGAAAAAACAATGAATGAGAGTTCTGAATAATTCTGAAGAACTCAGTTCATGAGAATTCTGAAGTGTTGCTTTTGATAAAATAAATATTATCGTCCTATCATCGGACATGTGTGCACTCAATCTCTCACGAACCCGTACGCAAGCAACAATAGAATATAGATTTACAATGACGCGAACACTCATAATAGTACAGCTCCAGATCATTTGGTTACTTCGACGTTGTTTTACAGTTTTTTTATTCATATACCGTTCAATATTAGGTTTTGGCAATACTATGTGCTTTCTATCGATACCAGATATATTGAATTTACATTATCTACAAATGTAACCCAATTCCAAAGTCTTGAGATTTTTTTATATTTTCTAACCAATGGTATATTCGTGGCCTTCTATTCGTTTTACTAAGAAATCGTTTTCTTCTAACTATTTAGCAATAAAAGTTATATTTTCTTAATACATTCCCTATAGTTTCTGTATTTAGCAGCTTACTAAACATTCCTTGGGCGTTTATAGTTCATTTGACTGCACTGGTTTGGGGAATTACAAATGATATTTTTAA